AACCACACACGCAACACACATACACAAGTAAAAATAGCATGGGATAACCAGTTTTCGGATTGATAATTGAAAAATAGCCAGTGTTTGCAAAGTCATAGAAAAATAGCCACTATTTTGCTACAACACGAAAAGTTATAGCATAATATACTGGAGATTGGTGCACGGAACTCCACCATATTATGCTGGAAGTCCAGTATATTATGCTGGAATATTTTCTGTATTTTGAATAGTATTTTCGTTCAGATTTATCTTTACATAAAAAGTGGCTAAATTTCGATTACTTTTGAAACTGTGACTATATTTTAATGACCACTTGTAAATCTGGCTATTTTTTAATTTTCTACCCAACCCAAAAAAGTAGGGAGAAATTTAAAAATAGCCAGATTTACAACTGGTCGTTTAAAAATAGCCCAATTTCAAAAGTAATCGAAATTTAGCCACTTTTTATGTAAAGATATATCTGAGCGAAAACACTGTTCAAAACCCGGAAAATACGCCAATATATTATGCTGGAGTTCCAGCATAAGTACACTAGAACTCCGGCATAATATATTGGAGTTCCAGCAAGTATAATTGTTCAGTATAATATACTGGAGTTTGGAGCACTGGTGCTCCAGTTTCCAGTATATTATACTGGAGTCAGCAAAGTATATCGGTCTAGCATAATATGCTGGAGTTCATACATAGGTGCACCGAACTCGAGTATATTATGCTGGACCGGTCTTTGTTGCAGCAAAATAGTGGCTATTTTTCATTGACTTCGTAAACGCTGACTATTTTTGAATAACCAGTCCAAAAACCGGCTATACCGTTCTATTTTACAAAAAAGTAAAGGAAAAAGAAGTTGAGAAATGGGAAGAAGAGGAGGAAAATTGGCAGAGTTAGACGTAGGGGTGTGCATTCGATTTTGACCCTTATCGATAATTTCTTATCGATTATCGATTTGTACATATGTTTATCGTTATCGTTTCAATAAGGTTCCGATTTTTTCGATTTATCGATTTTTGGGGCTTATCGATTCGGTTCTCGATTACATCAATAAGAAAATTTGCGGGATTTCACAGAAAGTATATTGCTATAAACACGTCTAACTAATATGGACAAAAAGAAGCTAAAATAAGACGAACACCGTTTATAACATAAAAATTGTGTCAACAAGCACATGCAACGAAACTAAAGTAAGAGATCAAATATATGTCACCAATACTCCAACGGTATAAAAAAGGAAAAGAAATACTTCATCACGACTAATTCTATTTTCCATTAATTTGAACTTCATTTCCTTGAGCTTTAAATATGATCATTCCTTAAATGTGGTAGACGAAATAATAGGGTTAGAGACTTGGGGTAAAGGAAAGGGTATTATAGAATAAGGGTAAATAAAATAAAATTTTTAGTATATCTTATCAGTTTATCGATAAACCGATAACTGAAGAGGACAAAATCGAAATCGGAATCGATAACTCGATAAGGAAAATTTCGAAATCGATAAACCCATAACAAATAATCGATTCGATTTATCCATGAACCGATTCGAAAGCACACACTCCTAGATAGAGGAAGACTGCGAATCTGGGTATAACAACTTTGCTCCAACAGTGGTAGGGATATACAATTTTCTTTCGGAAGAGAATTACAAGGTATTTTTGCTTAATTAGTTGATTCTTCTATTGCCATTTTCCATAGAATTAAGTAGACATAGTATTTGGACTTTGGAGCAATAATTCTATTCAACTGGCCATATTATTTTCTTTGTTTCTTCATCGGCTTGTACTTTTAGCTGCCCATTGTGTACATCTTACAGTGGACTTTTGGTGCAGGGAGGGGTGTGTGTGTG